TTTGTCACAGATTAAGCGTGACAACAGACGTCCTGTCGGCTGAGTTAGAAACTTCTGGGTTTGAAAACATCGAAACAAAGATACACGCGAGAACTTCCAAAGAATGAGCAGGTTAGCAGCTGTCACAACAGCGATGCTGAAAGGAATAATTTGTAACATCTCCCAGCTAAATTTAAGTTTGATTAATTGCAGTTCCAGCCTTTGATAGTCATGAAACATCAGACAGGCTATGACCCAGGCTTTCCCCTACTAGTCTACACAGTTCTTTGGCTGATTAGATTTGAGTCTTTAGGGAGGGGTCAGTTGAGATGCAGCATGCATTAACAAATAGCTTGTTGTTTACATGGCTTATCAGTATTAGAACCAGCAGGTGATGATAAGAAAGCCTGTAACTGGATAAAAAATAACTCAGTCCTACAGTTTATCAATAGAGAGAGACTTCACCAAAAGGTATTATTAATCCTGAAGTAAAATGTAGCATGCATGATGTAGGATTCCTGCATCCCGCTTTTGGTTTCTTTGATGATATTTTATAGGCTGTTATTGTAAGCTGGAGACAGTGTTTTGGTGGGAACATCATGCAGACCTCAGTTCTATGTCCGTCACTGTCCTTAGCACAGCTCTGCTCATGGTGCTATTTTTAATCCTGAAGAGAGAGGGCTCACTGTTGGCCAGCAAAACTGGCGCCCTGCACTTTCATTTACGAATTCACTGAAATATTCATGAGATGATGTTTTTTTTAAATAATCCACTGCTTAGATTCTTCTTTTTGCTGCTCAGGCTTTCTCATTTTGCTGTTTGCTGCTGGTTTAATACAAGAAAAAACTTCTTTTGTATATACATTAAGTGCAAGAGCATTACTGAATGAATAACTTGGAATATAATTCTTTGAGAAATAGAATTTGAATTGAAAGTAGATCAATGAGGGGAAAAGCCAGTGCAACACTGACATAACCTGCAACAGCTAATAATTATCCTCTTAAAGCAATCAGAATAAAACATATGTGAGATGATGATCTGGCTAGTCAGTGTTTTACTGCACTTTTCAGCAAAAAGTAAACAAAGCACATGCTCGACTTTCATAATAGTGTGCCAGACAAGCTCAAACTTGTGTAGGTGCACACAGACAAACACATACAAACCCAGATTATGTTTTGATTCCTAGAAGAGGAAAGAATATCTGTCTCTTGTTGCTGTGACTCCCACTGAGCTGGGTCCATAGCAGTGAAATAATTCACTATGTCACTTAATTCTTGGTGGGAACATTGTAGATGTCATCACAAATAACAGACCAGATTGGACATTTTCCTCTTAACCAAACATGTTATAGTCTACTGTGATCATCGTCAAATGCATTCACTCCCAGCTACCCCCTCTGTAACAGTTCACTCACACTTTCCTTTTCTGCTTTGCTGCAGAAATCAAAATCACAAAATAATATTTAGAGTTTGGGAAGCTTAATATTATTTTATTGAGGATAGAAAAGAAGTCTGGCATTTGAACACTGTGACCTGTGAAACAGTATCTCTTCAAGATGTCTAGAATTGCTTCTCTAAGTAATTGATCTGTGCCTATCCTAAATCTTGTTCACAACAGTGATCTACCCACAGGACCCAGATAATGATGATTTCAGATGTATTAAATTACCTCAGGGCAGAACCTTAGCCTTGGATCACAGACAACACAGTTAGTTCCCCATCCTGTTAATGTTTCAAGAGGCACGAAGGCAAGAAAGAAAGTTGTGGAAGATATTGCTGTATTATTTTCTGTGAGAAGACCACAGTCAAGTTTGTTTTTAACAGATGATGTGTCTAATGTTCTCTAACATAGATTAAAACAACTAAGTGCCTATTGTTAAACAAACAGTGACATATCATTGTAACATCCTTCTTTTTTCCAACAAACTCCTGTCTTAATCAGAGCATCAGTCATGAGAAATGTCTTCCAGCAATCCAGCCCCAATAGGTGAATTGGACTTGCTCTTTATTTCAGCATATCATCAGTGACAAGGATGAGGCAGCATATGTCAGACTGGGCCTTTTCTATAGCCATCAGAGAGAGGAAGCACTTAGTCTACTAAGTCTCCACTGGACTGCATAACCCAGCACTGTGCCTTTGAGCCTTTAGCTGGTGAGAGCTCTTCTCCTGTTCCTGGGGGGGTGGGGAGTAGATGATAAAGATGCAAGATAATACAGGGGTGGAAGAGGAAGAGGAGGGAGAGAAGAACGGCTGTGATGAGGACAATAGCTCAAATGGCAGGATTGTCAGGGAAAAATGGGAAATACAAAGAGCTGTCCTTTTTTGTCAAAGATAACTCTGACAAAGGCACTTAAGATGTCAATGGTCAGCAAAGGAGCTCCCTGGTTTAAGCCACTGATTGCATGGACATCCACTAGCTACTGTGGTAAAAATGTGCTGTCCAGCACCTTATGTAATATTTTAAAACTTAAGGTATGGACCAGATATACAGTACAAGTGTGTCTGCTTTCCAGAATGATCTGGGTCTAAGTGCTCATCCTACGTGCTACCTGTCAGGTTTACAATCTCATTCATCTCCAGGACCAATTAGCTAATGCTGTGGAATAAAGGGGCAGATAAAAATGTGACAGACCAAGCCCCAAAACAATAGCACAGACAACAGCAAAGCATTACTCCCATCATTATATCAATAAATCATAATTTCAAATGCTTTTTGAGCCCTATGTTTAGCCTATAGACAATGTGAAATATGATGCTGTGTTTACAGTCTCTCTGCCTCAGTCCAGCTCTCTAGCCTGTTTGCAAAACTGCTCATGGGATTAGAGCTGCTATCAGCAAAAGCACTTACACCAGCATAGTCCATATCAGTTTTTTTGTGTGCAGGTTACTATAACTTATGCATGCCTACGTGCATCTGTATTCTTTAATGCCAGCTTCTGTCTGTACAATGAAAACAAAATGCCAGTGGTAAATGGACTTGTACTTACATGTATATAGTAAATCCAAAGTCCCACTGAGTGACAGCTTTGACCCAAAATGGACAGCCTACAGACAGTCTGGATCCTTCCACATCCTCTCTATTCATCCATAAAGATCCACCTTAACTGCCATAAAATCCAAGAAAGAAAAATAGGATCAATACAGTGGAAGAGAAGTATTGCACCTACCACAGCTTCACAATGTGAATGGTGGCAAATTAACTTTTATTTAAACTGTCTCTAGATTGATTTATCTTTGACAAAAGCCACTGCGGCAACAACATTTATTCTGTGCGGCCTTTGGGGATTTTTTTTAAAGAAGAGTGGATACACTGACATTCTTACAGTAATTGTGTGTCCTCATTGTCTAGGATCAATGTTGCTCAGAGCAGCTGAATCCCTCAGCATAGCTGTTCTCCTGTTGCCTGCTGCTAGTAGTTTTGTTGTACCTCCACTCTCAGTATAGCCTGTCTCTCCATTTTCTTCTTCTTTATTGACATGAATACATTATAATCATAAACATCATAACCAAAGCTTTTAAACCTGGAGATTGTTAAGAGTGGGTCAAATTATGACAAAAAGTACTGTAAGGGGACTCCGAATAGGAATCAAATATTAGCCAAGTCAGCCTTTTTGTACACATTTACAAAATCATGTTTATAAAATCAAGCTCTTTTAAAAAAATCTTTCAATCTTTTATCTTTTCCATTGTACAGTTCTCAGTAAAATGGACATTTATATCTAAAATAATGAAGCTACAGCATATTGTTTAACATCAAAGGCACAAATTGATTTGATAGAAGAGCACACTGAGTGTCCTGATGGACTGTTTCCCACAAGGTCATGGTGTGAAAGAGAACCCCTGAAAGGTAACACCACATCTGAAAAGGTCCTGGACGGAGTCTTGGAATTGTTACAGTGCTGTGGATTAACAGATGCTTCAAAATATAGTGAAAATGCTGCTAGGACAAACTATGGTGCATGCTTGGATCATGCAAATTGAAGGTGATTGTGCCTTTCAAAGTCAGTGAGAGGTTGTTGTTGTAATGGGCTGTGGAACCAGAAGCTTCTCCTCTGGAAACAGTGAGACTTTGTTTAGTCCACATTTAATAACTGCATTGGTTCATTGGACGGTGTTGACAAGGGTGTACACCCTGCTGCACAGAGTCCCACATGCAGCTCAGTAAACCCTTCTTTTCAGTGTGATAATATATTCATTTTGTAATTCTGGCTCTTTTGATATCATCTGTGTTCACATGTTTCGGGCTGTAGCCCAGTACTTAGGAGCCCATGCCTTGGCATAGCACAGATTGTAAGGCAGCATTAGCTTTGGAGCTGCAATGGCTGCAGAGAGGAAAACGAAAGGACTGCCCCTGCACAGACATCAACCAGGACTTATTATTTAACTGCACCATCCTTTCAGTGACCTGATTATGTTGTGTGAGCTGCAAATTCCTCTGTTGCCACATCCAATCCCATCTGAGTGCAGCAATCCTTCTGTTTCACCCTTTTGGGTTTTTTTTTTTCTAGCATGTGGGTGCTATGCCAGATGAACAGCATTCAAAATGCCAACTTTGACAAGAAGCTTCTCAGAGAAACTGCCATTGTGGCTGTCAACGAAAGGCATCCAGCCTCTTAACTGTTACAGATGCCTTATGCAACTGCTGGTGAGTTTTGTTATGTAGACTAGGGTGATAAAAGAGAGGGGGTGTGTCACCCACAGTCAAAAGGATTACTGGCAGTTCACAGTTCCAGAGACCTCCGTTCACACTTTGTACTGGCTCTGGCCTACCTATGCACAGTAGGTATTTGAACAGTAAATTTGTGAGTTTTAGCTTAGGACAGTGTTGCCAGGGCAATGGCTGATAGGAACTATATGATGGTAGTATACTAAGAGGATGATTATATACCTGCTCACTTGCAGTACATCAAGGACAGTCATGTCTGAACTGAACAGCTGTGCCCATAATGTGGATGTCCATAGGCAGTTCAGATATTATTAACAAAATAACCTACAGCTTAAGAGCATATGGACCTGCTTTACTTTTCCTCCCCCATGTCCCAGCATGGGTGTGTAATGTTTGTGCTATTATACTGCAGTATGATGTATTGTTAATGACTGAGGGAGCAGCAGTGAGAAGGACAGCAGAAGGAAAGCATGGTGGGGCTTTTTAGAGGAAGTGAAGATATGGACGGGATGTCCTGACATGTTGGGTCTTCTGTCACTTAGCCTGCATCGCCCAGAGCTAACCCTTAGGCTGTTGTTTTATGTAGGTCTTCTCTTATCCAGCCCAGCAGCTGGGCCCATGCTATTTATAACACCACCGCTGCCCGAGGAGGAGGAGCTCGGTTTGTGGAAGTGTAACTCTGACTTGTACATAGCACAACAAAAATATTAACATAGATGTCATATAGCATGTGCTTGTATGTGGGAATTATGCTTTTTGCTTGTTGTGCATGTATATGAGGCAGTGTGTGTTTGTTGGTGGAGATGCACAACTTAGACCGGAAGTTGGACACAAAGTCAACAAATCTAAATTTTTCACTTGACCTTGACTTCTGACCTTCTGGCTTAAAATAATAAATAGTCTCTTCCTGTTTTGTAACACAAGCGTCCTTATCATTTCCCTGCAATTATGTAACAATTTGTCCAGTGAGATTTTGAGTGATATTTGACAGCATACGACCCACACAACTGAATACCAGCACTGTAATTGTCAGGGGAGGTGTAGGATTGGTGATTGCAGACCGAACAATCCCCCTTTGTCCTGCACAGGGTACAACTATCCTCTGTTACTGCTGCCTCACTGATCTGCACAGTCTGAGCCCCCCTACCAGCATAAGCATCTCAAGCACAGCTTTGTTTAACTGGATATTTTAATTTATCAACAGCTAAGGCTTGGGCTGACTGATCACATGACTCAGAGAGTGCTGTCATTCTTCTTCATCAGTTCTCTCTGTCTATCCTCAGTAAGCTTCACATCGCTCTGTTGGTCTTTGTAGGTGACACCATGTCTGGCCTGTTCAGGAAGCCTATGAATGATGATGGTGATGTGTACACGTCCCTGCTGTCCAATCAGAGCTTCCCATCAGGTCGGGAAACAACCTACCTCTCAGATGATCTGAAGCCTTCCAAGCCCTCCTCTGGCTCCTCTGGCCTGGACCACTTCGCCAGTGACACATACAGCTTCAGCTCCAACACCAGGATGACTTCCAGCCTGGTCGATGACATGCCAAAATCTCTGCTGGGCTCAGATAAGACCGAATCCTATAACTACATGGACATCAGCCATGGAGATGAGCACCATGACCAACACCAGGGGCGTGACTTACTGGGCAGCTACAGAGACAAGAACCCTGGAAGAGATGAAGATGATGAGGAGGAAGAAGAGAACCTAGGTCCAGCACTAGGCTCCCATTCTTTCCCCTATGTGGAGGAGCCATCTGATGAAGAGCTGCCAGACTACCGCTCCTACAGAAACCTGGGTGGCACCCTGCAGACGGCCAGCCCAGTGAAGATCACCTTGACCGAGACCAAGTCTCCAGCTGCCACAGCCGAGCCGCAGCAACATCCCTCTGCAGTCGGTGTGTCTGACCGTGAAAACGTCCTCAGCGTGGGTTTACAGGGGGTTCCCACTGTGACGCTATCAGAGCCAGAGGATGACAGCCCTGCATCCACTCCCAGTGCTTCCCCGACACGTAGGCACAGCATGCAAACACCTGTGGTTAGATATAGGAGTGGATGATATCAGTCAAATCCTCCATCACTGTGTGGTGGTATACAGTATGTTGTTCTAATGTATATGGTAAGATAGTACAGTTTTTGGAAAATCAGTGAGGAAACTGTTTAAAGAAAAACATAACCAATATCTTTGCTGGTCTAATCAAGTGAATGAAATACCTGACAACTCTATAAACTTTATCATGTCACAAAAATCATATAGGAACCTGTATATTGCCATAGTGCCCACCCCTGTGTCAGATGTATATTCTATGTAGCACAATTTCAGTCTTTGTCTTTAAAATGAGCCTGTGTAGCATAAAAGTAGCAACAGTAGCTTTCAAAAGTTACATGCCACTACTCTAGCATTAAATGTGCAAATACTGTATATATGCATTTATAATGGGAATAAGGACTGATGCCCACTTTTCTCTGTATTTCTCTCTGAGCAGAAAAAGAATTCTCTTCCTGTGACACATACAACACGGACACAGTGAAGTCTGCAGCTTCCAAAAGCCATCCTGGCACAAAGGCCGGCAGCAGGGAGCAGGATGGCAGCAGTGCAGAGTCTGGAGACTCAGAGATCGAGCTGGTGTCTGAGGAGCCTCCCAAAGCTAGTAGCAACCCATTTTCCCAGCTGCCTAAAAGCAAAGTTGCTTTCAGCCAGCCTAACAACCCTTTTGACAGTCCTCCAGTTGCCAAAGGTGGGTATGGCCTGGCTGGCAACCACGCTCCTCCCACAGCCTACAGCATTCTGAGAGAGGAAAGAGAGGCAGAGCTTGACAGTGACCTCATCATCGAGTCTGCATCTGAAGAGAGCCCAAAGAGAGAGCAGGGCTTCAGTGGCCCCAAAAAGGGAGCCAGCCCTCCCTCTCCCCTGGTTCCTAGTGCCATTGCTCCCTGCCATCCAGCTGAAGCTGTGCCAGCTGAGCCCTTGATCACAGAAAAGTTCAAGACCCCAGTGAAAATTGAAGAGGATCGTCCTGGCAAGCCCAAGCCCCCCACCGCTGCCGTGCCCCCAGAGGTGAGATTGGAGAAGCCCCAGCCGGGCGACATGTACAAGCACGCCGACGAGGGCAAGGGAGACCTAGGGAAACCTGCTGTACCAATGTTTCTGGAGGGCTTTAACAAACAAAACGGTTAGTCCTTTAAATCCTGATGTTCTCATTACACAGAAGTTGGTGTTTTCTAAGGGTTACATGGTTCTCTTCTGAACAATACTGGGACAATAAACATTTCTATTGCTTCTTAATACTTTCATATTAGGATTTCACAAAATATGCGAGTAATATGTCCATTATTGCAGTGGTGTCACTTTGGTTTATAAACTACTGTCATGAGTACTGGCTTTCCAGACAATGTGGCCAGCTTGAGGAACAGGTAATGTTGTGTCTGCTAATGATGAGTCTTTGGGCTTGAGTGAGAGAGATGTTGCATGTGTGTTTAGTTTGAAACCTTCCCTGTCATACTTACAGACAAAAACTTCACTGACAACATATTCAGATCAAATTACTAACATACTACTTGTATTTCTTTACCTCCTGGTAGCAATCTGCATGCCACGCTGTTGCACTTTGTTGACAAGGCCAGGAAAGTAACAAGGACTGTTTGAGAGAGATGGGATGTTCCGCTGCTGAGAGTCTGTCTGCGCCAGGGGTGCGTGGGAAGTGTTTGTGTTGTACTTTCCTGAGGTCTGCTTCCCCCTCGTGGTATATTTGAGAAAAAAAAATAAGGTGGAGTGAGAATGCAAAGATCCATATTTATGACAGTGCATGATGATTTAAACTCAACACCCATGCTGTTTAACATTATTCTCTGCTTTCAAATGAAGCAGAACAAATTGTAAAATTACAAAGCTCTTTTGGTATTTTGACATTATCTGCAGCTTACAGTACATCACGCTTTATCATCCTGTGATTAGATAAGACCTACATGCCAGTAGCATTCAGCAGGGGTTTCTACCATCTAAGCTGCATGTTTGATGATGACATGAGGATTTTCACTTCTATTGGCTGATTTTTCTGTCCTTGTAAAAACGGGTTTACATAATCTTATGATGTCAAAACAGGGCCACACCCCCACTTAAAGAGAAGAGCTATAAGTAATATGTCTGAATGCATACTGTTTTACAGCGGTTTCTCTGTGTCCCATTATTTCCTAATAGTCACAGCGTATTACTGATGCTTCCTGGTCAAATTGAGTGATGACTAAGTAATGTAAATAATTACATATTTAGTTACAGGACTGTAAAGCTGCTGAAAGGGCTCATCTTGCTTTGTTTATTGTGACTGTCAGAAGGTTCTGGAAATGCTAAAAAGCAGGTCACGAGTGTTTTTTTCTCCACCACCAGAGGGCAGAGTGCACCCTTGTCATCATTGCTCTGTTAAAGACTAGCAGATACCATTTTCATCAGTCTGTGCACTTCCACACCAGTTGCCATAGCAACCCTGATAGGGGAGCATGTGCAGTCTGGTTTAGAAAAATCTTGTTTTTTTTTGTTTTGTTTGTTTTTTCTTTCTTTTTGGCATTGAGACCTGTCAAGGCTGCTATTGAGCAGAAGGTGTGAGGCGTGGCTGTCTGTGGGTGGGGGACAACTAATGGCTCTGATTGAATTGTAAAATTATATCATCAAACTATGAAGGAATGGTTTTCTGCTCGGTGCTGACTACACCGTATGCTTCATTTGCACAAATGCATCCTGAAGGCGCTAAATAAGGAGCATAGTGATGTAATGCACAGTGTCTGTCGTAATGAATTATTCACATACAAGCACTTTGTTTCTTCAGTTCTCAGTGAGTCATAGTGGAAACATCTATTTGGATCTTTGGCTATAACATTAAGTATTGTTCTGTGGGGGGGGAGAAGAAGAACTTACTTTCATGAAAAAACAGATACACACATACGCAGTTTCCCTGCTCCCGTCCGTTTTAGCCAGCACCACTCCACAGCATCAGTCTGTGTGCTCCGCGAGCCAGCAGCGCCTTGGAAGCCTTTCCTCCCTCCCTCCCTCCCTCCCTCTGTGTCATCTCAGCCTCTCTCCTGCATCCTTTTCTACCATTCATGTCTTTCTGGGATAAGTGAGGGAGTCAGTGCTACTGAACAGGGACAAAGAAGAAAACGGAGACCACAAAGAGAAAGCGAGAGAGAGAAAGAGAGAGAACAGGAACATAACTGAACACCAGCATGCAGGCCACTGCAGACGTGACCAAGAAGGAATGCTCCTGGAGCAGCTGGAAGGGCCAGGGTACTGATGTGTTTACTGTGATTTATTCATCAATTGTCTGTCTTGGTGATGTGAGAGGACTGTTATCTCTGCATGTAGGTTAACTATTCAGGACACTATGGGTGTGTAGTCCTGATGTGTGTTTTGCATGTGTATGTTTGTCATCTAATTCTGTCTGTCATGTGGGAATCAAACAGTACTGTTTACCTGCGCCTCCTTTCACATGGACACACCCTGATGACAGATCCTTTCTGCTGCATGTGTGTCCATCATGAAAAAAAAAAAAAAAACAGATAGGATGTGAGAGACATTTGTGGGTGTTGTGGAAAATAAGAGCATACACCACAGCGTGCTGAGAGCCATCTGTTTTGGCTGCATGTCAGTATGGATGCCAGTGTTGTGAACTAAGGCGTGTCATTGTTAATACCCTCCCCACTGTGCAACCGTGCAGGGGAGCTGTTTTTTATCATGTACGGTGTGTTTTTGTGTAACGAGGCACTCGAAACATCCGGGCAACACTGACAGACTGTCTCTATGGCAACCAGGGCACACCCATCCTGATTACATCAGCCCTGTCTCTGTAGCTGCCATGGCACCTTGCAGAGACTGGGCCAGAGAAGAGCATCCTCTGTTTCCATAGCATAGAGGGTTTGTAGAAGGAACTAAGAGAGAAAATGGTGACTGTTCCTCCACACAGGTTGTGGTTTGTCATCTGTCATTTTTTTTAGATTTGTCTAAGCAATAGAAGTGAATGACTGGGCATCCTCTGTTGCTTAGTGTATCCTAACAAAGACTGTAACAGTCCCTGATTTTGGAAGTACAGTTTTGTCAGTGATAAATCTCTTTATTGTTCTACAGAGTTATAATCCATGTAAAACGAGTGTCTGAGATGGTGTAACATAGTAGCTTATCTGATGGGATTTGTCCTCAACATAAGTAAACATCAAATTCAGCTGATACAGTCAGCAAAGGATGAAATTGAGCAGATTTATTTTCTGCTCTTGAATGCTCCTACACTACCTTTTTGTTTTGTCATTTTCATTACATATGCACAATGCTGACTCACTGCCACTACTCAACAATGATGGCATATCCAAAGCTGAGTCATGCATGTATGATATACTTGGCAAATAATTCATAATTCCAGCCAACAGGTTCTCAAATGTACACTATAGGACAAAACACATACTCTCTAGTCTGTTTGTCAATCGAATGAAATTATATTATGTCTAAATGTTTATTGTACATATGTATAATTGGTGCCAATAAGTGTGACCGAACTACAGAGATGATTAGATGAAGAGCAACCGTTTTGCTTATTTGATAGTTGACAGAAGTTTGTCTTTGATAATCAAACTTTGGGATAGTTCAGATTTGTTGTCATAACAGTATGATATCAATACACACAAAATAATGTTGAAACTAGTTCAGTGATATACAGGAGAGAGAAGAATCAAGCTGTGGAAATACACTAAAGATGGTGGATGGTTGAAACCTTAAAGGTCATTAATGTAATGTCATTTCACACTGACTTTTGAAGCAGTCAGCTCCAGGTCTGAGACTGAAGTCCTTGAATCTCAGCTGTGAAAGACTGTTGGCAGCAAAAGTCCCATTGCATGTTTGGTCACTCTAGCTGATGGCTTGTTTGAGGCCGCAAGGATGTCTTCAGTGATTTAATAAGGCCAGGCCTAGTTTCACTACAGAAAAGGGGAGGGGGAGTCATATTATTGTCACTGGTGTTAATCATTTGCCTTGGATTTTGCCCAGCATGTGTGTAGAATATCAGAGGAAAGAGTCATATCAACAAACAGAGCTTGGCAGGAAACATTTGGATTGCTTCTGTGCTCAGATTCGGCATCCTGTGTCCAGTACTGTGATTGGGATTTAACTTCTGTAGCTTCAAAACACCTGACATAGAACCGTTATCCATAGTTTTATTTTAGTTTACTGTTGAAACCTTACTGAGTTTTCTCTATTCGGTGCCCTATATGAATATTAGGTTAAGGTTTTCTAATTAAATGTAGACAATTTAAATGCCGCACCAACTGGCACTCAAACTGGGTACAATCTGAGCTTGTAATGTGACACTATCTCTTAATATTCTTTAACTCTTTTTATACCCTTTTCTCATTTGATGATACAGACAACTAACAGGCTGTGTGTCAGGGTGTGCAGACACATTATGCGGCACTGATTCCCCCAGATTTGAAGGAAATGAATCTCTCTCTGTTCCCAAAGGAACTCTCTTCACCCTCCCTCTTCCTCCTTCGGTCCCTCCCTTCCTCCCTCTCCCCATGAGTGGTGGGAAGAAAATGGAGCACAGTAACTATGGTAACTGCATCAGACAGGTGCTCGGCAGATCCTGGCCACCGAAGCATTTTAATGGGGCAGTAGAATAAGGCTACAGTATTTATATTACATTTTTGGCCTCATCTTTAGCTACTGAAATCATACAATACATTGGTTACATATACAAAGGACTCCTTCTGTTTTCCTCTTTGATACAGTGACTATTATTTTAGGGGCTGCTTGGTTGTGTTTGTCATGTGTCTGTGGGGCTGTGCTTAAAAGCCTCAGCTAACAGAGAGCAAGTGTATGTATGTTAGTATGTGTACTGGATTGCACTGTGGTTCTTTGGCAACCGCACCCCACAGACATGCCCCTCCTTCAGTCCCCCTGCTCAAGCAGATGCCGATTTGCCGGTGTGGCTGTGGCCCTGCCCATCCTGCACGTGGGGGACTCCCACATTAGTGCTCTTCCTTTGTCTGTGCATAAAGCAGCTGCCTCTGCCGCAGGTCAGTACATGCTTCTACTGCACTAGCTAAAGCTTTTGAGTCTGCGTGCAGTTGGTGCAGCACAACACAAGGCACAGTCACTGTTGCCGGTCAGCACCTGCCTCTCTAGCAGAGCTGTCTGTTGCTGATGTGTCTGTGTTGTTACACCTACTGTATGTGCACCTGTGCGTGTTTGTGTGTGCGAGCATAGCCATTCAAATCAGGAGGCCACATGGACACCGTCAGTTATGGCAGGAACAATGGCTTCTGTGGGGAGTGGTGCATGTACAGCAGCTGAAACCCAATGATCCTGCTTCCACTGTTTCTGAAATATTAGTGACTTTGATTTGATAGGAGGGTATGAAAAGTCAATGTTGGTTACTGATAAGAGAAAACAGATTATACATGTTATTTTACAGTATAAGAACAGTTAGTGTGTGGGTAGCTGAGGTTCACTTAGTCAAAATGACTCTTCTTTCACCACCCAGGTTTAGCCTGCCTCTTTGGCATACGCTGCCTTTTAGTGGAAGAGTAAAGATGGCCGTCATCACTATGCTGTTCACAGCGCCACTGCTAAAATTAGAGCAGGCGGGTGGGTGGACAGCTTAGAGAGGAAGACTGAGACACCTCAGAGACCTCAGCATTGATTCTTTGTTTTTCACAGGCACAAAACTTCACATTAATGTACCAGTTCTGTTCGCCTCCCTGTGTGGCATGAAGAATTTCCAGGTGTCGGTACCAACAGATGAGACGTAG